TAGTGTCCCGTACTGGGACATGGTCAGGGATCTCCCGCTGTCTGGAACTGTGTATTCATCCATCCGCTGCACCTGCTGTTCTGCCATCAGTGTCCGTGAACAGTGCTTCTTCATCGGATATCAGCCGGGATCTCACGCTCTCTGGAACTGTTTATTTCATCCATCCGCTGCACCTGCTGTTCTGACATCAGCATCCGAGAATAGTGTCCCGTACTGGGACATGGTCTGGCATATCCCGCTCTCTGGAACTATGTTCTGTTTATTTCCTTCATCCACTGCACCTGCTGTTCTGACATCAGCATCCGAGAATAGTGCCCCGTACTGGGACATGGTCTGGGATCTCCCGCTCCATGGAACTTCGTATTCATCTTTCCACTGCACCTGCTGTTCTGCCATCAGCATCCGAGAATAGTGTCCCGTACTGGGACATGGTCAGGGATCTCCCGCTGTCTGGAACTGTGTATTCATCCATCCGCTGCACCTGCTGTTCTGCCATCAGTGTCCGGGAACAGCGCTTCATCATCGGATATCTGCCGTGAATTACCGCTCTCTGGAACTGTGTATTAGTCCGTCCACTGCACCTGCTGTTCTGACATCAGCATCCGAGATAGTGTCCCGTACTGGGACATGGTCTCGCATATCCCTCTCTCTGTAACTATGTTCTGTTCATCGCCTTCATCCAGTGCACCTGCTGTTCTGCCATCAGTGTCCGACAATAGCGCTTCATCATCGGATATCTGCCGTGAAATACCGCTCCATGGAACTGTTTATTTCATCCATCCGCTGCACCTGCTGTTCTGCCATCAGTGTCCGGGAATAGTGTGCCGTTCTGGGACTTGGTCTGGGATATCACGCTCTCTGGAACTGTTTAATTCATCCATCCACTGCACCTGCTGTTCTGACATCAGCATCCGAGAATAGTGTCCCGTACTGGGACATGGTCTGGGATATCCCGCTGTCTGGAACTGTGTATTCATCCATCCGCTGCACCTGCTGTTCTGCCATCAGTGTCCGTGAACAGTGCTTCTTCATCGGATATCAGCCGGGATCTCACGCTCTCTGGAACTGTTTAATTCATCCATCCGCTGCACCTGCTGTTCTGCCATCAGTGTCCGTGAACAGTGCTTCTTCATCGGATATCAGCCGGGATCTCACGCTCTCTGGAACTGTTTATTTCATCCATCCGCTGCACCTGCTGTTCTGCCATCAGTGTCCGTGAACAGTGCTTCTTCATCGGATATCAGCCGGGATCTCACGCTCTCTGGAACTGTTTATTTCATCCATCCACTGCACCTGCTGTTCTGACATCAGCATCCGAGAATAGTGTCCCGTACTGGGACATGGTCTGGGATCTCCCGCTCCATGGAACTGTGTTCTGTTTATTTCCTTCATCCACTGCACCTGCTGTTCTGACATCAGCATCCGACAATAGTGTCCCGTACTGGGACATGGTCTGGCATATCCCGCTCTCTGGAACTATGTTCTGATTATTTCCTTCATCCACTGCACCTGCTGTTCTGACATCAGCATCCGAGAATAGTGTCCCGTACTGGGACATGGTCTGGCATATCCCGCTCTCTGGAACTATGTTCTGTTCATTTCCTTCATCCACTGCACCTGCTGTTCTGACATCAGCATCCGAGAATAGTGTCCCGTACTGGGACATGGTCTGGTCTCTGCCGCTCTCTGGAACTCTTTATTCATCCAAGGGGTACACCTGCTGGTCTGCCATCACTGTCCGGGAATAGTGTGTCGTTCTGGGACTTGGTCTGGTATCTGCCGCTCTCTGGAGCTCTTTATTCATCCATGCGGTACACCTGCTGTTCTGCCATCACTGTCCGGGAATAGTGTGTCGTTCTGGGACTTGGTCTGGTCTCTGCCGCTCTCTGGAGCTCTTTATTCATCCATGGGGTACACCAGCTGTTCTGCCATCACTGTCCGGGAATAGTGTGTCGTTCTGGGACTTGGTCTGGTCTCTGCCGCTCTCTGGAGCTCTTTATTCATCCATCCACTGCACCTGCTGTTCTGCCATCACTGTCCGGGAATAGTGTGTCGTTCTGGGACTTGGTCTGGTCTCTGCCGCTCTCTGGAGCTCTTTATTCATCCATGCGGTACACCTGCTGTTCTGCCATCACTGTCCGGGAATAGTGTGCCGTTCTGGGTCATGGTCTGGTCTCTGCCGCTCTCTGGAACTCTTTATTCATCCATGGGGTACACCTGCTGGTCTGCCATCACTGTCCGGGAACAGTGTGCCGTTCTGGGTCATGGTCTGGTCTCTGCCGCTCTCTGGAACTCTTTATTCATCCATGGGGTACACCTGCTGGTCTGCCATCACTGTCCGGGAATAGTGTGCCGTTCTGGGTCATGGTCTGGGATATCACGCTCTCTGGAACTCTTTATTCATCCATGGGGTACACCTGCTGTTCTGACATCAGCATCCGAGAATAGTGTCCCGTACTGGGACATGGTCTGGGTTCTGCCGCTCTCTGGAGCTGTTATTTTTCTCCATCCAGTACACCCACTGCTCTGCCATCACTGTCCGAAAATAGTGCTCCGAAATCGGGTAAGTCACGCGGGGAGCCACCCCTGTATCTCGGCTCCAGGAGCGTCTTTCCGCCCGGGGCCTGGCCCACTATGCTTAGGTCCAGCTGGGGAACGCTCCCCCCGAAGCTCGGGGCCCTGTCCTGGAGATCTCTGTTTCCGAAAACCAGGTTTCTGAAATCTGCGACCTGGTGGCCCAGTGATGTGAGCTAAAAAAAAATTTATCGAAGCGATCTAAAAAAGCCCAGGCATTTTCTGAGCTTTCCTTCACATATTCCGACTTTTACTTAGTTTCTGACGGAGCCAAAAAAGTCCGGGTTTTTTTCCCTCCACATAGTCCCGACTGGAAACTTTAACTTTTTTTTTTTCCATTATTTCACCCGCGGAGGTCCGCAAACACCTCCAGGGGCCCACAACGGCCGAATTAAGCCAGGAAAAAGACACCAGAACCCGGATCTCTTTACCAGACACCCCCAGAGCCCGGAACACGGACCCAAACACCTCCAGAGGCCCACAACGGCCGAATTGAACCCGGAAAAAGACGCCAGAACCCGGATCTCTTTACCAGACACCCCCAGAGCCCGGAACTCGGACCCAAACACCTCCAGAGGCCCACAACGGCCGAATTAAACCCGGAAAAAGACGCCAGAACCCGGATCTCTTTACCAGACACCCCAGGAGCCCGGAACACGGACCCAAACACCTCCAGAGGCCCACAACGGCCGAATTAAACCCGGAAAAAGACGCCAGAACCCGGATTTCTTTACCAGACACCCCCAGAGCCCGGAACTCGGACCCAAACACCTCCAGAGGCCCACAACGGCCGAATTGAACCCGGAAAAAGACGCCAGAACCCGGATCTCTTTACCAGACACCCCCAGAGCCCGGAACACGGACCCAAACACCTCCAGAGGCCCACAACGGCCGAATTGAACCCGGAAAAAGACGCCAGAACCCGGATCTCTTTACCAAACACCCCCAGAGCCCGGAACTCGGACCCAAACACCTCCAGAGGCCCACAACGGCCGAATTGAACCCGGAAAAAGACGCCAGAACCCGGATCTCTTTACCAGACACCCCCAGAGCCCGGAACACGGACCCAAACACCTCCAGAGGCCCACAACGGCCGAATTGAACCCGGAAAAAGACGCCAGAACCCGGATTTCTTTACCAGACACCCCCAGAGCCCGGAACTCGGACCCAAACACCTCCAGAGGCCCACAACGGCCGAATTGAACCCGGAAAAAGACGCCAGAACCCGGATCTCTTTACCAGACACCCCCAGAGCCCGGATGAGCTCCACAAACACCTCCAGAGGCCCACAACGGCCGAATTGAACCCGGAAAAAGACGCCAGAACCCGGATCTCTTTACCAGACACCCCCAGAGCCCGGATGAGCTCCACAAACACCTCCAGAGGCCCACAACGGCCGAATTGAACCCGGAAAAAGACGCCAGAACCCGGATCTCTTTACCAGACACCCCCAGAGCCCGGAACTCGGACCCAAACACCTCCAGAGGCCCACAACGGCCGAATTGAACCCGGAAAAAGACGCCAGAACCCGGATCTCTTTACCAAACACCCCCAGAGCCCGGAACTCGGACACAAACACCTCCAGAGGCCGGGGACCTCCTAATTAAGCCCGGAAAAGGACGCCAGAGCCCGGGTTCCGCTCCATGCCGCACACCACACCTGCAATACCGACCTCTCCCACCGGAGGGAGACAGAGGGCGCCTTCCACCCTGACTGCTGCCCGGGTGAGAGACACTATTCCTGGGGGGACTCTTTATCAGACTCCCCTTAACTAAAAGGGACTGCTGCCCGGGAAAGAGACACTATTCCTGGGGGGGCCTTCTACCAGACCCCCCCTGCCCCAACACACCATCCCCAATTTCACAAGTATTCACATAGCATATTCAGTCAGAACTTGTCCGTTTTAAATATCCGCACCTGCAATACCGACCTCTCCCACCGGAGGGAGACAGAGGGAACCTTCCCCCCCACGACTGCTCCCCGGGGAACAGACACTATTCCTGGGGGGACTCTTTATCAGACTCCCCTGAACTAAGCCCGACTCCTGCCCGGGAAAGAGACACTATTCCTGGGGGGGCCTTCTACCAGACCCCCCCTGCCCCAACACACCATCCCCAATTTCACATAGCATATTCAGTCACCACTTGTCCGTTTCAAACACCCGCACCTGCAATACCCACCTCTCCCTCCGGAGGGAGACAGAGGGAACCTTCCCCCCCACGACTGCTCCCCGGGAAACAGACACTATTCCTGGGGGGACTCTTTATCAGACCCCCCTGAACTAAGCCCGACTCCTGCCCGGGAAAGAGACACTATTCCTGGGGGGACTCTTTATCAGACCCCCCTGAACTAAGCCCGACTCCTGCCCGGGAAAGAGCTGCCTTCCCTGGGCAACATACAATCAACTCCCCTTGCTCCATCACCAGGCGCTCCACCGACGCTCAGCGAACGCCCGGGCCTGCGGCGCTGACCGGACTGACGCTCCATCGCATGACGGCGGAGGATGACGCGCAGTCCTTTTTGGAGGCCTTTGAGGCGATGGCGGAGGCGTGCAGCTGGCCGGCGGAGGAGTGGTCGGTCCGGCTTTTACCTCTCTTATCCGGGGAGGCACAGACGGCGGCCATGGGGCTGCCACCGGCGGCCCGGCGGGACTACGCATCCGTGCGTAAGGCGGTCACCGACAGGCTGGGGCTGCTGCCAGAGGACCACCGCCGGCGGTTTCGGCAGACCAGGTTGGAGCCGGGGGACCGGCCGTTTGCGTACGGGCAGCGGCTCAAGGACGCCGCGAACAGATGGCTGCTGCCTAACGGCGTTGGGGGGAAGGAGGCCGTGATGGAAAAGGTGGTCTTGGAGCAGTTCGCGGAGGGGCTCCCGGCCCGGACGGCAGCGTGGGTGAAGTACCACCGCCCACCGACCCTCAAAGCGGCCATCACCCTCGCAGAGGATCACCTGGCGGTGCACCCCAGTGGGCAGCGGGACGAGGAGGGTACGCCATCCCCGGACCGACCAGCGCGACGGCGAGGGGGGCAGCCGCAGCCGGTGGAGCGACCCGTGCCGGCCCCGCGACGGACATCGTTCCTTCCGGCCCGCTACCCGCCGACCGCTCCGATGCCCTTCCCGACCCACAGAGGGGTTCTCAAACGCCGGGGCAGGAATGTTGGAGGTGCGGGCAGCCCGGACACCTCCGGAGAGAGTGTCCGCTGATGGAGGTGGGGCAGGTGATTCGGGTTGCCGGCGTTCCAACACCCTCCCCCGGTCCGGGAGCGACGTACCGCGTTCCGGTAAGAATCCAGGGGGGTATACGCCAGGCGTTGGTTGATTCGGGCTGCATGCAGTCTATGATTCACCAGAGCCTGGTTCGGCCCGGGGCATTGGTGGAGGCGTCACGGGTGAAAATAAGGTGTGTGCATGGGGACGTTCACGAGTATCCCATAGTGTCCGTAGAATTTAGGCATAGAGGGAAAAAGCATAGTGTGAAGGCAGCGGTTAGCTCCTGCCTGACGCACCCCGTAATTTTGGGAACAGATTGGCCAGGGTTTGATAAGCTAATGGGGCTGGCCGCGGGGGTGCGTTCACGACCGACAGGGTTATGCGGTATGTGCGCGGTGCTCAGCGGTGACGCGAGGTCGTCCGACGCTGCAGACGGGGAGGGCGAGTCGGCAGGGCCTCTCGTAGAGACTCCGCCGGTTCCCGGGTTTCGCTCCATGGAAGATTTTCCACTCGAGCAGTCTCGTGACGATACTCTACGCTCAGCTTACGACCAAGTGATTAGGATTGATGGTCAGTTGGTGCGCCCTGACGCGGCGCAATCATATCCGCACTTTTCGTTGATTAGGGACAGACTGTATAGAGTGAGTCGTGACACTCTGACGGGGCAGGAAAACACCCAGTTGCTGGTGCCGAAAAGCCGTCGGGAAATGATTTTCCAGGCGGCTCATTATAACCCGATGGCGGGGCATATGGGATACGAAAAAACGCTAGACCGGATAATGACCCGATTTTATTGGCCAGGCATCCGGGGGGACGTGCGCCGCCGGTGCGCGTCCTGCCCGGAGTGTCAGTTAGTAAACGCTCCGGCCACTCCGAGGGCGCCGTTGCGTCCTCTGCCGTTGGTGGAGGTTCCGTTCGAGCGGATCGGTATGGACCTCATCGGGCCGTTTCACCGGAGCGCACGCGGATATCGCTTTGTGTTAGTCCTCATGGATTACGCAACGCGATATCCGGAGGCAGTGCCGTTGCGCAATATCTCTGCAAAGAGTGTCGCGCGGGCTCTGTTTCAGGTCATCTCCCGAGTCGGAATCCCTAAAGAGATTCTGACTGACCAGGGCACCTCGTTCATGTCGCGCACACTGAGAGAACTTTACGGGTTACTGGGCATCAAGTCCATTCGTACTAGCGTGTACCACCCGCAGACGGATGGGCTGGTGGAACGTATGAATAAGACTCTGAAGTCCATGATCCGTAAATTTATTAGCGAAGATGAACGTAATTGGGATAACTGGCTTGACCCTCTGTTGTTTGCAGTGCGGGAGGTCCCCCAGGCCTCCACGGGGTTTTCTCCCTTTGAACTTTTGTTTGGCAGGACACCGAGGGGGGTGCTGGACCTAATTAAGGAAAGCTGGGAGGAAGGTCCGAGCCCTGGCAAGAACGAGATCCAGTACGTCCTGGACCTGCGAGCAAAGCTCCACACACTGGGTAGAATGTCACGAGAGAATTTGCTCCAGGTCCAGGAACGGCAACAACGGCTGTACAACAGAGGAGCCAGGCTGCGGAAATTCACGCCGGGAGAAAAGGTACTTGTGTTACTTCCTTCTTCCAACTCTAAACTCCTGGCTAAGTGGCAAGGGCCCTTTGAGGTCACACGGCAGGTGGGGGATGTCGACTATGAGGTGGTGCGGTCTGACCGGGGCGGGGCGGGGCGACGCAGATATACCACCTAAACCTCCTGAAAGCCTGGAGGGAGGCGGAGTCTGTTGCCCTGGTGTCCGCGGTACCGGAAAGAGAAGAGCTGGGGCCGGAGGTGCCAAAAGCGGCTGATCCCACCCCGCTCCCGTACGAGGCCCGTCTCTCCGAGGACCAGAGAACGGACATCGCCCAGTTGCAGAAGCAGTTTGCTGACGTGTTCTCCCCCCTGCCAGGCCGGACCGACCTGATAGCTCACCGAATCGAGACTCCCCCGGGGGTGACTGTGAGATCACGTCCCTACAGGATGCCCGAACACAAAAGAAAAGTGGTTCAGGGGGAATTGGCTAGTATGTTGGAGATGGGGGTAATAGAAGAGTCCCACAGCGCCTGGTGTAGCCCCATCGTTCTTGTGCCTAAGAAAGATGGGTCGGTGCGGTTCTGTGTGGACTATCGCAGGGTGAATGATGTGTCACGGTTTGATGCCTACCCGATGCCCCGGGTCGACGAACTCCTGGACCGGCTGGGCACTGCACGTTTCTTTACGACACTGGATTTAACCAAGGGCTATTGGCAGATTCCTCTGTCTCCAGAGTCCAAGGAAAAAACGGCGTTCTCCACTCCGTATGGGTTATACCAATTTACCACACTTCCCTTTGGCCTGTTCGGTGCCCCGGCCACGTTTCAGCGTCTCATGGATCGGGTGCTGCGTCCCCACGCTGCATATGCTGCCGCCTACTTGGATGACGTCATTATCCACAGCACCACCTGGGCGGAGCATATGCGGCGGGTGGGTGCGGTGCTGGAGTCCCTGAGACGGGCGGGGCTCACCGCCAACCCGGGGAAGTGTGCAGTTGGACGGAGGGAGGTCCGGTATCTGGGGTACCACTTGGGGGGCGGGCAGGTGCGTCCTCAGGTAGACAAGACTGCGGCGATTGCGGCCTGCCCGCGGCCCAAGACGAAAAAAGAGGTGAGGCGGTTCTTGGGGCTGGCGGGGTATTACAGGCGGTTCATTCCCAGCTTCGCGGACCTCACCAGCCCCCTGACCGACCTGACCCGGAGAGGTGCGTCAGATCCGGTCCAGTGGTCGGAGCAGTGCCAGCAGGCGTTTGAGAAGGTGAAACAGACTCTTTGTGGGGAACCACTCCTCCATACCCCTGACTTTTCTTTTCCCTTCACTCTGCAGACTGACGCATCGGACAGAGGGCTGGGGGCCGTTTTGTCCCAGGAGGTGGAGGGGGTCGACCGCCCAGTCTTATACATCAGCCGGAAGCTGTCCGAAAGGGAGGCCAGGTACAGCACGGTGGAAAAGGAGTGCCTGGCCATCCGGTGGGCGGTGGACTCCCTGCGCTACTACCTCCTGGGACGCTCTTTCACCCTCTGTTCGGACCACGCCCCGCTCCAATGGCTCCACCGCATGAAGGATACCAACGCCCGGATCACCCGGTGGTATCTGGCGCTACAGCCTTTTAACTTCAGAGTGGTCCATAGGCCGGGGGCGCAGATGGTCGTGGCAGACTTCCTCTCCCGCCCTCTTGAGGGTGGGGGGGGGGGGGAGTAGGTTAGGCCGGGGGGCTTCCCGGCCTAAGTCGGGCGGTGGGGGTATGTGGTGGCGGGCGTGGTTTTGGGCTCGTCTGCCGCAGGAGAGAGGGGGGAGTGGCTCAGGGAACGGTGCCAGGTGGGAGCAATTGGCATCAGCACAGCTGATGCTACTCTAACCCTGTGTTTATGTCTTTTTAAGAGCAGTGAGAGCGGCGGCGAGGAGGCGAGAGACGCGGAGACCTCACTGCTCTGTGTATGAAAACTTTGAATAAAATCTGTTATATTGCAACCAACCCTGCCGTGTCGTGCTGTCTCTGCGCCCCCGAGGACCTACATCGTGACAACGGTGTTGTGTCTTTTGACGCGCTCATTGTGGGATCTCGTGCAGCTTGGTGGCCCAGCGTCTCACGGGCATTGCAACCGGCATCACACATGGGGGTTTCCTGCGGCCTACCTCGGGATCCTCTAGCACCGGTGTGCCAGAGGTTTCCCCTGATCTTCAGGGCCTTTATCTAGTTGGCTCCGGACATTAGCCGGGTCCCATCCGTGATCCAATGATTGGCAGCAGGAACCTCGCCGATGTTTCTTAGGCCCGCTCCATCCCGGCTGTCTAAGAGTCTGCCCTTCCAGAATCGTCTCTCGTCCGCCTTGTTCTTAAGCAGCGTATGCTGGTATCGAGAGAGATCGCTCCTTGCCAGAAATTGGAAGTCAGGGTGGCCCGACAGTGCTTGAATGTCCTCATCCTGAGACTCGGCTAGTCTGCCCATTCGGGCCGCTCTGAGCCTTGGGATAAGCGTGCATAGGCACGGGGTTCCCAGTCCTCCATCGGCGGGGTGGGCATATATGTACCCGAGGGGCGTATCCTTTGGGAGCCTCAGCGCACCCCGAAGTTCCCCGCGCGCGATGCGGCCCAGTCCAAGCAGTAACTTGGCAGTTACCCTCTGCAGCACTAATTGATGACTATCTTCGGGATCAGGTGGTTCTTCAGTATATGCATGCGCTGTTGCGGCTTAAGCGGGGCCCTCCGGAGGTTTGCCAGCATTAGTCGTAGGCGAGCCTCTGGTGTCTGGGCCTTTCCCGCTGCATTGATCTTGACACCCAGGTACTTGTACAGGTGGCTTGGCTTCATACCAGGGACGTCCTCGCCATCAATCTGCAGACATGGCCTCTTGTCGACCAGTGCCCTCTTGTTCCTCCCATCAGCTATTATGGCCAATGTCGCGCACTTCCCTGGGTTAGCCCTCAGGCCAGCTTTGGCCAGCCAGGCTAGAACCTCGTCCGTGGAGGTTTGTAGGCCCCTTTTGCTCGAGGCAAATAGGACCAGGTCGTCGGCGAAGGCCAGGGTCTGCAGAAGGTACCCCGAGCACATTCGGAAGCCAACACCAGTGCCCTCAGCCCTTATCAGGGTTTCGCGCACAATCAAATTGAATAACACTGGGGACAAGGGGTCCCCCTGCCGCACTCCATTCACTAGCTGTATTCTGGCACCATACAATAATGTAGAGCCTTGGGCATAGTACGCTCTTAGGTATTCGCAGAAGTGCGGCGGAATACCTTGCCTCCAGTGCCACCCTTAGGATCGTTTGGTGGGCGACACTGTCGAAGGCCTTTCTCAGGTCGATGAAGGCTAGGAATAGGCCTTGGACCCTCCTTTTGGCTTCCCTCATCGCCGTTTGAAGGATCGCCAAGTTGGCAGCAGTTCCGTCCACCTTCCTAAATGCCTTTTGCGACCGGTGTAGTGGCAGCCGCTGGGCGAGTCTTTTGGCCATTAGCCGATGGAATAGGCGGCAGTAGGCATTGCTAATTGAGATGGGCCGGTACTCCCCCAGGGGTCGCAGGGTCATCATTCTTTGGCAGCAAGACTGATCTGCTCTCCAAGAACGTGCTTGGAGGCCTTCCCATGTAGAGCACCGCATTAAGCAGGGTGGCAATGTCCAGAGGATCCTTCTGCTTTAGTTCCGCGTTGGAGATTCCGTCGGGCCTGGGGCAGATAATGGTAGCTCCTTCAGGAGTGCAGTGGCCTCCAGCTCCGTTACTGGTGCCACTGCCTCTTGGATGATTGGATGACGCCTGCTAGGGCTCCTCCAATCCTCCACTTTAGGGCCCTCTAGGATTCTTCTCCAGTAAGAGATAATTTCCTCGGGTGCGAACTTCGGCATATTGCTCTTATCCCATGTGCCCTCTATGGCAGCCTTTGCTGCTTCCGATCGCCTCCTTACGTAGAGGGCCTGCATCCGGGCGTAGTGGAACCTCCTCATCTGCCGCTTGGATCCCTGTGAGGTGTCAGTGTTGGCCTTTCTTCTGCGCCGATGTGTTTCTGGCAGATGGCCATCGCCGGTCGGGGCGGGGTTGGATGCTTGGGAATCCATAAGGATGCGTTGTAGCTCCGAGGCTATATGTTCTTCGCCGCGATCGGCTATCCTCTTCAGCAGCAAAACATATTGGGGGCCCGGGTGGGAGATTTGCTCCGCTGCCCAGAGACCGATTGCCTCTCTGCAGGCATTGTCCGGCAAAGCCCCTGGGGGTTCTGACGCACTTCCGCCGGGAGTCGTTTCGCCATCATTTACGGGTGGGTCCGGACTGGCGGCCTGATCCCCGAGGACCTGATCTTCTTTTAGTCTTCGGAGAGTCATCCTATACCGGTCCGTCTTCCGTATGTAACGAATCTGATCGATGTTCCACTCTTGGAAGTGCGCCAACACAGCTTGGTTGATAAACCGGGCCCCCTGTTCTGCCACTTCGGCCCTCGCCACCAGTTCCACTTCTTCGTCGGTCCATCTGATGTTTTTGGCACGGTCCTCTCTCCTCGCTACCTCCACCCTATGATGATCATCCGGGTGCTTCGCACTCCTGTGCACTCCCAGTCCTCGCTTTGTCTGAAAGGCTTTGGAGCACACTCCGCACTGATGTGGCCTGTCTTCCACGTCGTCTAAACTCACTCCACAGGCCGCGGTGGCAGCCCGTGTCGTCTTCATTGTCTTTGTTTGTTTCGAAGAGGGTTGGTTGAGAGGAGGGGGGTTGCTGGCCCACCTCCCCTTGGGGATCGCAGAGGTTCGGTCTTTTGCCGTAGGGAAGGGGACCCTACGTTACCGTGGTTACGCCACTGGGAGGCGCCGAACTTGCTTGGACGGTCAGACCACGGTGTCTGGGGTGTGACGAGGGGCGTGCCAAAGAGAGTCATAGTTACTCCCGCCGTTTACCCGCGCTTCATTGAATTTCTTCAGTTTGACATTCAGAGCACTGGGCAGAAATCACATTGCGTCAACACCCACCGCAATGCTTTGTTTAATTAAACAGTCGGATTCCCCAGGTCCGCACCAGTTCTAAGTCAGCTGCTAGGCGCCAGCCGCAGCGACCCGCCGGGACCCGAGGGCCCCGACGAGCGCCTAGCCTGGGCGATCCGCGAGAAGACCCCGACGCGCGTCCAGAGTCACCGGCCGCCCCGGCCCACCAGCCCCCGTCTTTCCCGCCTTCCGCAAAGGGTCCACGACCAGGACCGGCACCGAGGCGACCCACGCCGAAACGCGAGCACGACCCCAGCACCGAGCCCTGGCCGCAACCGCGACGCTTCCGGCGGCCGACCATGAGACAGCGGACGAGACGCCGGCTCCCCCAGCCGCGACACGAAGCCAGCCCCGCTTCGCACCCCGGCCGACCCAGCCCCCTCGGGCCGCAAGATGCGTTCAAAGTGTCAATGATCAATGTGTCCTGCAAATCACATTACTTCTCGCAGCTAGCTGCGTTCTTCATCGACGCGCGAGCCGAGTGATCCACTGCTAAGAGTTGTCTTTCATTTTTGTTTGATGCGACGAGGTTCATGGAAAGTGGGGACGAGGCGATGCGGGACGGTGAGAGAACATGCGCTCCACGGGGGCGCGCCGCACAGGACCGTGCCGGGGCATCGTCTCCCGGCGTCGCCTGGCGGTCGCGCTCCGTGCGGGGTACATCTGGGGCAGACGGGCCGTCTCAGACTCGCTACAAATCGGGCGCCCGGGGGGAAGCGCAGGGCCATCGGGGCGAACCCAGCGTGCGCACCAACCCACCCGGGCATAGAGGCCGACCCGTGTTCCGGGGGCCCCCGGGTGGCGGGTTACGGTTGCAAATCGGTCAGAATTTTCACGTAACCTCGTTCGGTTAAAGCATTTCCTTCACCGGCGCGCCCCGGCCAAAGCCAAAGCGCCCGGGGATGGCACACCGCAGGCGGGCGCACCGGAGGAGGGCCGCCCCACCTACGCTCAAGCAGTCTCGTTCGATTAAAGGATTTCGTCCAACGGCACGCCCCGGCCGAAGCCAGAGCGCCCGAGGATGGCGCACCGGAGGCGGGCCGCCCCGCCGTCATCTCTCTCGCTCAGCGATCCATCCGCGGAACCCACCGACCAGCCACAGTGCCCGGAATGGTGCCTCCTGCCGGGGTAGCGTCCGCTCGCTCCCCGGCAGCCAGTTCTGCATGAGGCTCCGGTTCGTTCACCCTCACCACTGTCCGAGGGCGTCCGAAAATACTGAGGTCTGAGTCGGATCCAAAACTCACAAACGTCGGTCCTCACTCCTGGAGGCCTGACGTTTCTGAAATCTGCGACCTAGTGGCCCAGTGATGTCAGCTAGAAAAATTTTTTTCCAGTCCGCTCAAAATTCTCTGGAAACTTAAACTAATTATCTGACTTAAAAAACGGAGTTAATTTTTCATCCAGGAGACCGGACCTTCCTTCAAAGCGTCCCCAGTGGTCCTTCGTCATCGGATATCTGCTGAGATCTCCCGCTCTGGAACTGTGTATTCATCCATCCGCTGCACCTGCTGTTTTGCCATCAGTGTCCGACAATAGCGCTTCATCATCGGATAACTGCCGGGGTCTCCCGCTCTCTGGAACCGTTTCCTTTATCCAATGCACCCACCGCTCTGCCATCAGTGTCCGAGAATAGTGTGCCGTACTCGGACATCAGCCAGGATCTCCCGCTCTCTGGAACTATGTTCTGTTTATTTCCTCCATCCAGTGAACCCACTGCTCTGCCATCAGTGTCCGACAATAGTGCTGCATCATCGGATATCTGCCTAGATATCCCGCTCTCTGGAACCGTTTCCTTTATCCAATGCACCCACCGCTCTGCCATCAGTGTCCGAGAATAGTGTGCCGTTTTTGGACATGGGCCGGGATCTGCCGCTCTCTGGAACTGTGCATTTCCTCCATCCAGGACACTCACCATTCCAGCATGAGTGTCCGAGAATAGTGCTTCGTAGGGTCTTGAGTTCCAACAGAACACCTTTCTTCAAGGTAGCTCTTCACAGAGAGCCGGGATCCTGGGGCAATCACTTCCAGGTGTGGGAGCTCTGCCTGCCACCCACGTAACCCCTGGCCTATGTTCACACAGGATGACATTTGGTCGACACCACGGCCACAACCATGGTTACCATCTAGCTACGCCACATCCGCAAAAACTGTTCACGACCGGGCCGGCTCAAGCCCCACACAGAGC